TCCAGGCTGGATCTTCTCCCGGTACCGATTCGCCGGACGAACGACTTGGTTCCGGCAGGAGCTCCATCATTGATGCATGCACGCACGTCCAAGCTTGGGTTTACGCAACACAAGCATGCGCAACCACAAGCGACTGTTGCGACCCGATGGACCAAGTGCGGGTGCCGTGGGAAAGAGGGCCCAAAACCAACTTACGTTGCCTGAATTGGCACTTTCTTAGACAATCATTGCAGAAGCGAGACTACCACAGGGATATTTCTCGTCAGCAGCTGAGACCTCCTTCATCAAAACCAATGTAACAACATCCTTGCTATCTCGGCTCCGGGATGAAGACAAACGACTTGAGTCGTCGCAGAGGGTCAGGGTCCTTACTACACCCTTATTTTACGCCTTTCCCGCCTACGGACCTTCTGCGGCGCCTTCAAGACATGGATTGTGGATAAGGGATCATGGCTTTATATTGGTTGATTTGAAGCCCAAAACAGTAGTCCTGATGATGAACAGCTCGCTGGGATAAGCTGGTCACAAGCTGTTACAAGACGTTAACATTTAATCAATGGACTTTTAAAGATGAAATGATGCACTGTACCGTTGTGGTCGATAGTGGTCCTGGAACTCAACAAATCCATGCGAATCGAACAAATCCTGCGATTGTGGGCTTCTCCCCGCGTGCCCTTGAATGCCCTCATATGGATGGTTGATTTCCACTTGTTCCTTTCTATGTTCGTAGATACCTCAAAGACTGACATTCAGTTCAATGAATTTCAAGAACTAGCCATACATGCCATGATGCTTGGACACGGTTCAGTTTCTGAACAGGATTTCATTGAGACCTGCCCTGTAAGTATTATCTCACATTTCGACGATCATGGAACTAGTCACGATGATGATTTGTCGAAATTGCCTTTTGGGTTGAATTGTGCCTGATGAGGCCAGTCACAGGCCTAATCCGAATCAATTGTTAGGTGTTCCTGTTGGTGGAGGTGAGGTACCAGTAGAACGTTGAATCCCAATGCAGCTCGCAAGTTAGTGCTATACTGGTCTCTCGCATATTGTAGCCTAACAGCAGAAACTCGGGCTGAATCTTGCAGCGCCGGGGACATGGTCGATCTTGGGTCGCAGTGGGCTTTGCTCCTGCTGAATTCCCACTTGTCCCCCGCCAAACAGGGCCGGCAGGGGCCAAACCTCCAGCAAAAACCCAATCCCACTTTTTTTTCCGGCCTTCCTGTCCATAAAATTTCAAAATCTCTCATCAGGCGCGTTGCAACCCCTCCTCTTGAACCTTTCAAACTGTTTGGTCAATCTTCACTCAGACCTTTGACGACGATCTTCCCTCTCGTGAGACCTCTATTTGTTGCCCGTTTCTCGGACCGCGCATCAACCGCTACATTGTGAGTCTTTTCTCGAGCAATTCGATCCCGACACGCCTTTCGTCCCAACTCGAGTCGTCGCAACATCCCTCCCCCTCCTCTACTTTGCGCCCGCGGCCAATCCGCTCCACCACCGGTCTCTACGGGAGAGCAACTCTTGTCAAACGGCTTGATTTCCATTCAAGATACACATGCTCGAACAGCAACCCGAATTTCGGCCTGCCTTGCCCGTACAGTTCCTCAATACTGTCTTGGGCTTCCCGTCGCCTCTCACTCCCACCTCTACCGCCGCCCCATGAGCTCGATCGACCTTCTTCGCTTCCTGTCCAAGCCTGCAAAGTGCGGTTCTTGTTCTCCCGAACTACTTCCTTTTGACTAACCCTCTCTCTGCTAGGCCTAGATAACATCCTTCTCAAACATCCTCATAACCAACACCTCGGAGCCTGCCCGCGTCCCTTGAACCGGTTCTCTCGGCCTTCCTACCCCGCCCGATATCGCCTATAGGTATCGGTTGTGTCGCGACCACGGCGAACTCGACGACAAAGCCCACCATTCTGCTCTCACGGTTCTATCTCCTTCCGCTTCGCACTCGACCTCCCTAACGTCTACTTCGTGAGACGTTCAGCTACCTTCATCCACCCACTGCTGCTGGCGAAGCCAGCCTCTTAAAGGACACCACAATCCTGTGGGCCTACTCTCTCAGAAGAACGCCATCAAAGTTCATCTGAGTGGCAGCTAGTGTCCCGCGGACGCTTCGTTTTAGAAGACACACTGTCAACAACCCCCTCAAACCGACTCAAAATGTCTGGCCTCGGAGTTCCCGCCATTCCCGCCAACTACACCTTCTCCCCTTCCGAGGGCACTCCTTACCTTACCATCAACCACGATGTCGCTGCCGACCTCGACTCCACCAATGCCTTTGAAGGCCCCGAGAAGCTCCTCGAGGTCTGGTTCGCGCCCAGCGCCAAGGCTCTCCCTGCCGGTGTCAAGGAGGGTGGCCTGAAGGCCGTCAATCCTGACTGCTGGACCCCAATGCTTGATTTGGTCCACTGCAAGGTCCTGTCCATCATCAACTCCGAGAACGTGGACTCATACCTTCTCTCTGAATCCAGCATGTTTGTGTTCCCCCACAAGATCATCCTCAAGACATGCGGTACCACCACTCTGCTGCTTGGTCTGGACTTGATGTTGCGCATCGCCGCCGTCGAGGCTGGATTTCCTTTCCATAACGTGGCTTCGTTGGAGGACCCCAAGGTTGCCGCTACTCCTCTGCGCGTGTTCTATAGCCGTAAGAACTTTTTGTTTCCCCAGAAGCAGCGTGGGCCCCACAAGAGCTGGAGAGATGAGGTTACCTTCTTGGATAACATGTTCGAGAACGGAAGTGCCTACATGGTTGGCAAGATGAACGGTGACCATTGGTACCTTTACATTACATCCCCCACCAGCTCCCTGACTCCTCCACGCACCCCCACTTCCAGCCGCGGTGTCAGCCCTAGTCGTAGGTCCAAGATTCCTACCGGTATCGTGGCTCCCTTTGGAGGTGTGATCGAAAACAACGCGGACGAGACTTTGGAGATCCTGATGACCGACCTGGATCCCGAGAACGCCAAGAAGTTCTACCTTGAAGAAGCGACCGCGATCGCCAAGGAGAAGCTCTTTTCCAAATCTGAGGCGAACGGAGATGCCTCTTTTGACGTCTTCAGCAGCTCCGGAGACTGCGATGCTGATGGCCAGGCTGTTCTTCCCGAAGCCCTTACCACCGAGGGTCACGCCTTGGGTACTGTCGTGTCGGAAGCATGCGGTCTTTCCGCCGTGTATCCCACCTCCACCTATCCTGATGCTCGCATCGATGCGTACCAGTTCTCCCCTTGCGGCTTTTCCGCCAACGGTGTTGTACCAGCTGTCGCGGGCGCCGACGGCACTATTCCCAAGGCCGGCCACTACTTCACGGTTCATGTCACCCCTGAGCCCCAGTGCTCTTTTGCCTCCTTCGAAACCAACGTTCCCGGAGGCCAGAACGGGCGCCAGACAGCTGAAGTTATTGAGCAGGTTGTTAACATCTTCCGCCCTGGACGTTTCAGTGTGACTTTGTTCGAGGCCAAGGGCGCATTGGCCACCACACCTGGCGAGGATGCTGATGATTCCCGTCGCAGCTGGGGCGCCGCTGCTAAGCAGCGTATGGAGCGCATCAACGGATATCGTCGCGTTGACCGTATTGTTCACGATTTCGAGGATTACGACCTCGTATTCCGCTACTACGAGCGCGAAGACTGGGTTGGAGGTGGAGGAGCTAGAATGGGCGAGGAGTTTTAAAGTGGTTCCAAGCGCCTGGATGAATCGAATACCATCAAATTTCCCATTTCTTGTCATATCCGCATACATTCCTTCACCATCATCAGCGATACCCTTACCTATTATTCTGCCTGCTGCTCTGTATTTGCTGCGGCTCTGTGCCCTGTAATGATGTCGCTCTCACTTTTTCCCGGATTGATCATGGTCATTCATCTGGTTTCAATCTCATCACTGTAATTCACCTCCATTGCCTATCGTCATTCATAGCTTGTTTCGTTCTTCCCGATGAGTAGCATGGACATTGATGACTCGACCTCCTGCGTTTCTGTCGTGATGGCCTTGGCTGAGACCTACACCCAGAGTTCGCATTCCAGTTCCTGATCTACGCCCCATCGAAGAATGTTTTTTCTCCAATCCGGCACAGGCGTTGCAACATCCACCAGCTGCTTTCCAGCAGTATAGGAATCACGGAACACACTGTCATGTAGTGGCACGGTGGCCTTCCTGCCACAAGTCTAGCGCAGGCATGTGAGTCCTTGACTACACAACGCCAACCTCTGCGTTGGGGCCACCACATCAGCAAATGACTTATTTCTCCCTTATCAAGTTGTTTATTCTCTTGACCTTCGCACCTCTCTCTCTAACTGGATAACGTCAGAACGGCCAATCCGGGAAGTTGCCGACGACGACGACGACAACAGGTATCGCTGGCGATATCAACGAGATTATCTTGAGCTACTGCATCTCTGGATCGTGAGCAGTGATCGCTCGCAACGCGTACGATATGGATCAACAACCGGTTTCTGACGCTGCGAGCAGCGTCGAAAAGCAGCAACTTCCAACACCACCACCGCCAGAGCCGCGATTTGGAGGATGGATGCCGATAGTCGCTCTTACGGGACTGGTTATCGCATTTCTTGCATCAACATCGGGAATCGTCGTGTCGATTCTCTACTTGGCCAAGAAGATTGCCGCAAACGAGAATGCAATGCTGGGCATCGCGCAAAGTTTTATGCTGTTTGCTGTAGGTTTTCCCTAGTTTCCCCTCCCCCTCTCTATTTCACCCACATCTTTATGCTTACAAGTTCCCAGTCAATTTTTTCTATGGCTTACATCGGTTACCATATTCGAGCCACCCGGGCTGGCAACACCCTCTACGGTATTCTGGATACACAGGGTCGCAAAACCCTACACCCCGTTCATGCCCGGACAAGGATGCTGATAATATCTGCCACCTCCGTCTGGGTGCTTACAATCATACTTCTCGCCGTTGGGATATACTTTGGCGGAGGAGGGAGCAAGACTGTTCTGCTTAATATGGATCTATTTGCTTCCATCATGGCCAGTCTCGCCCTCAGTATCGAATGCTACGTCGTCTTCAGGGTAGATCCTCCCTTTCTGCTGCCGTGGCTATCACCGTGGGATGCGAGGATCAGGCCTCGTGGGTTTGATTTCGAAGAGAACTCGACATCCATAAAGGTAGTAGCGATGGACAAATTTGCTAGGGGTTTCGACGCTTCTATCCTTGACCGCGAGTCCTCGCCTACGGAAAGGATCAGGCCTAAGACTCCCACTCACATATCTCCACCATCTAGCCCGACGCCTTCGAGACCTGGAGGGCCGCGACCGATGATGCCAGCGAAATCGGATAGTGTCCTGAGCGGCTCAACGCTTCATGATGGTCATAGTGTTGACGGCGCATCCGGATCAGGTCATACTCTCCCAAAGCCGCCATTGGCGACTTACCAGAACATTGAACCACAACGCATAATGCCAAAGGCTCCTGTCCCTCAGGCATCAAATCACAACTACTCCAATTCTTCCGAGACCTTCACCAATGTCCCACTATCTCCCACCCCCTATCTCGCGCAGACTCCCCAGCCTTGGAGTTCACAGCCGGCCCTGACACAAACACCATCGACAATGGCCAGCCCACAAGCACCGTGCCCCCCTCCTCCACAGGCTTCTAACATGTCGTATGCGGAAGCGCAACAGCAGCAACAGCAGCAGCAACAAGGCCATTATTACCAACAATACCCGCAGCATCCTCATCAATATCAACCCTACAGCCCTCCGCAATATCATTACGGCCCGCCTCCGCAAGTTCAGCACGTACCCGTCCAACAGCCACCTTACTACCAACATCAATACCAGTATCACCCAAGTCAGTCATCAACACAATGGGCGTATCCTCAGCAACCAACTGCCGTTTATGGGACGCCAGGACCAGGGAATGTCTCGCCCATGCCGTCAACCCCAGATTACCGGGATGCAGACAGTGAACCGGTGTCGCCGTTAACCCGACAGAGCAGTGGGATGAGCGCGCAAGTGAGGAGCATGCCGGGAACGTTTCGGGACGGGAGTTAGCGCAAGTGAGGGAAATGGGAAGAGGCTAGCGAGAATGGATTGGCGCGCCCGATGCGCGTCGGGCCCAGAAGGGGAAAAAGGAACTTGGAAAGCATGGTTCTTTAAGGTTGCGAACAGGACACTTCCTCTGCGCGACATATCATTTAGGACCGACATGACGACGGAATGAAATAAGACAGGAAGTAATCGAAGCGGAGATTGTTAATTGTATTACATAGAATCCATAAGAAATAAATCTGGTGCGTATTACCTTGCACTCACTACGGGTTGATGTCCTGATGCTGGCCAAATTCTGCTAACACCTTTGCAATGATCTTCCGGGTTAGGCTGTTAGTGCAAAGAACTCAATGTGGAGACGTGAAAGTCACCCTTGGTCTCAGCTCTCGCAGATGAGACGCAATGTTGTGATGCACTCTCGAAACATCCAAACAAACGACAAAAGATCGAATTGATAAGTATGCATCCATTTAATTGAGAAATTACTTTGCAGTCGCTCCCCGTCGAAGCATTTGTTTGCATTGGGAGTGACAATAGTAGGTACCTTGTACCTTCTATTCCACGTGACAGCGTGTGCCAACCTAGTATAAGAAAGTCAATTGACAGGCAACCGCCAGGCAGCAGTCGCGATTGTGGGACTCGCTTCACGACAAACGACGTACTTTCCATTTTATTATTTGGAGCCTGAAAATAAACGCGGTGACTCTGGAAATCCTGTTCTCTTCATATATATCTCTTCCTCCAATCTTCCCGAGCAGGTTCCCCCTTCTTCCTGTTCATCCATCACGACTTCTTCTGTTTCTCACACGCTCGCACGCGCTAGGTACTCACTTTGCCAACAACTACCAAACTCGATCCATCTACGTGCCTCGATAACCGCCATCAAGAGGTCGCTCCTTCCTTCTCGATATCCATCTCGCCTTTTTCTCTCCCTCACTCACCCCGGCCTTCACTGCAACCCCAGCCGAGTCGTTGATTATTTACTCAACCTTCCACAAGCAGACCGTCTTTCTTTCTGCTGATCCATCACACCTTCTCTCTAAACACCGCTCACCTCGCACATCACTCACATCGACTTCAGTCCAATCACCACGCAGGATGACAACTACGACCCCAACACCAGAGGAGGACACTCGTGCTCCCTCGTCAGAGGCGTATCTGGCGCGAATGCCACTAGAAGTCCTGACGAGAATCACTTACTTCGTCAGAACACCCGACCTTGGCAATGCGCGCTTGACGTGCAGATGGCTGGAAAGCGCCCTCTTCCACTCGTTTGCCTACGAGTTCTTCCGCAAGAAGCAGTTCATGCTCTACGGACCCAGTCTGCAAGTCCTCGTTGACATATCCAAACATCCGGGCTTTTCGCCCTACTTGAAACATGTAATCATCGGCGCCGACCAAATCCTCGAACCCCACAGAATTCAGTCTCGGCAGGACGAGACAAAATTGCTGAACTGGCACCTCGCATACGCTGATCAACGAACACTGTTGGCATCAGGCCGTGCACGGGACATGCTGGTCGAAGCCTTCAAGAACTTGCCCAACCTCGAGACTGTCGATCTTCGAGATTTCCACTCTCCCTCGCGGACCCGCGACGGCGACGCAGGTTGGAAAAGCTATGGCTTTAACACCCTATCCGAAACCACCGGAGTTAAACATTTCACCGGACAGCCGCGGGTAGGCGAAGAAGATTATCCGACGCTCTTGTTCACACTCATCACCCACGCCTTGGCCGCGGCCAAAGCACGCCCAAAAGGCATCGAAGTGGTTATCAGAGAAAACTGGGCGGTGCGCGACCATGGCTTCCTGGTACCTCCTTACCTAGAGCCAGATTTTCTGCCGGTATTGGCGGGCCTCAAGAAGCTGCATCTCGTGCTGGATGCCGACCTAGCCACACACAGGGACATTGAGATTCAATATCTCCTGTTCAAGAAATTCCTTGCGCTCACACCCAATCTTACCTGGCTTCGAGTCAACTTTGAGAGATCAATTTCACACTATGGAGGGAAAGAGGCTCTGCTTAAGTGGCTGGCCAGCTCCCTTCGTCCTGGTACCTGGTCATCGCCTGGCCTCATTAACGCCGATCCTTCCCGTTTGCCGCCGCCCGTCGAGTTCGACCACCTGGAACAACTGGACATCGGTCAACTCGATGTTTCGGCAAACACTCTTTATCGCCTATTTAACAAGTTCTCTTCTACTTTGAAAGCGATTAGCCTGCGCAGGGTCAAAATCCAGCAAAGTTCTGACCAACAGACATTCGACCAGGATGACGATGAGCAGAACCCATTGATCAAGCTCTTGCGCAGCCTCAAGAAGGAGTCGTTCCCACATCTTCGAGAATTGAGCCTGAGTCTACTGAGCGCGGAGGTCACGTCCACTACTTCCGGGGCTACGCTCCACTACCCAGTAGTGGGATTTGTTAATCCAGACGAGGCCGAGAACTATCGGAAGGGCATTTCAGCAACAGGGTATCAAAACCTTTGGGGGTTAGCTCAAGCCATTGGGGACAGGACCTATACTGGCCTGAAACTGGAGACGTTTCTCAGCAACCCCGCCGCAGACATAGCTACACCTGGCAAACACATCACAGGTGTTCCGCGTGAGCAGCACCCTTCTTTTTATCAATTTCATCACCCTCAGCACCACATTTTCTATTAGTCCAACCTCGTCAGCCTCGACAGAACTTTCAAGCGGAAGTCGGTCAAACAAGTCTGTTGCCCTTACTAACCATACATCTTAGTCCCTGGACAATCGGACGACGAATCAGATTTCGACTCAAGCGACGATGACGACGAGGGGTCGAGTGATGATGACGGCAGCGCGGCGGACGATTAGTTGTCTATGGTTTTTCCGAGGTTACAGCGCTGGTCTATTCCTTCTATATTGAACAAGAAGGGATGGTTATGGACGAGAAGCTTCAAATTGCTTTCATTGCTTAAAGTCGAAGATACCCGATACCCGCCAAGAAACTGTGTTGGTTTTTAGACGCAGGTACTGGCAGCCGTTATACCAATTAGCCAATATCTTTTGTAAACTCAAAAGAAACGGTTTCTAGCTCTTCTTCGCATGGAATGGATTGATCAAGGCAATTATGCAAGTGCTTATTTTGGGTTTCCGGTTTTCCGGTGTAGCCACTAACGATCAGGGCCTAAGGCCGCGGTGCGTCGCCACTAACAGCTGTTAACAACGTCACTGCCCCCTGTGACTGAACCTGTCCCTGGAAGTTCCATAATGTGATCATCATCTCCACAACCTTAATTCGACCACCAAAACCCACAGCGGCCCACTTTCAGCTCCAGTTTCACCAGTGACTCTGTTGACATAGCCACACAAGAAATTCGCCTTGGAGTCCTCCCAATTCGTCATCTACTATTTATCCCAGGGCCCAACGACGACTGTTTGATATTCTGTGCTCTCGGGCTTGAATCACAAAATTCCACGACAACCAAAGGTTATACCAACAATACAACCGCCCACTATGCCGACCTCACTAACAATACACCTCGTCAACACCTCCCCGACCCCGCACATCCCCATCCATGCCTACATCACGGGTCTTGCCATCCCCTCGATGGCCCGCGTCTTCATCCAGTCTGACGGCCGAACTACCTACTTTCCTCCCTCGCCTCCTCCTGGGAAAATTCTCCAGCCCTTCCCCGTCGATTGCGCCATCCCCGTCCCTCCAGGCCCTCACCCAACCGTTGTCACCATTCCACGCATCGCCGGTGGGCGTATCTGGTTCTGCCAAGGAGACAAAAAGCTCAAGTTCATGCTCAATCCCGGCGGTCCCGGAGGTGGCGCCGCGCTGGTTGAGCCATCGGTCTTGAACCCGAGCGACCCCAACCGCGATGTGGACTTTGCGTTTTGCGAGTTTACGCTGAACGATCACCAGCTTTTCGCCAATATCTCGTACGTGGACTTTGTGCCGAGGTTGCCGATTGCCTTGACGCTGGTGGAGAAGGGAACGAGGAGACTGCAGCATGTGTCGGGGATGCGACCGGATGGGCTGGAGAGGATCGCGCAGGGGTTGAGAGATCAGGCAGCCAGGGACGGGTGGCCGTGGGACAAGTTAGTGGTGCACAGGCCGGGGATGGATAGACCGTTGAGGGTGCTGGCGCCGACACATAGCGATGCGGTCGGGGCCAAGTTTGACGGGTATTTTGAGCCGTTGGTGGACAGGGTCTGGGAGAGATACTGTCATTTTGGGAAGCCGTGTAAGGGGGGTCATGGCGCGGTATTCAATACCGATAAGCCTCCTGGTCCTCCGCCCGGACCAAGACCGGGTGATGCGCCGGGTGACCGACCCCCTGGCCCCCCACCCGGGCCCCGTCCCGGAGACGGTCCGAACGGCGCCCCGCCCAGGTTCGGGTTACGGCACGTTCTACAAAAATTCCATGGTCACCATCATCACAGCCACAACGGCCATGCTGCAGCTCCTCAGCAACCTTATTACTACCCCGGGCAGCAACAACCTTATTACTACCAAGGGCAGCAACAACCTTATTACTACCCCGGGCAACAACCTTACACACCACCTCCTCCCCCTCCTCCTCCTCAAGTCCAACACCAAACCCACCACCTCCGCATCAACACCCAAGCCGCCCCCGGCATTCTAACCGGCCACATTCCCAACTTGCCCTCCGATCCCCTCCTCGTCGGGTCGGAACCCTTCCATCGCCCCACAACAGCCGACATCTTTGGGTGCAACTCCGGTCCCTTCACCACGGGCCCCAACGCCGTGCGAAACGCCATCATCCCTCGTCTGGCAGCCGCCTTTCAGCGGTCCAGCATCATTGACTGCGAGGACCAGCCGTCGGATGTGGAGACTTTTTACCGGTGGCATGTGGATGGGAGACCGACGAATCATTATGCGAGGGTGGTGCATGAGTGGAATGCGGATGGGAAGGGGTATGCCTTTGCTTATGATGATGTGCAGAGAGATGGGGGGAGGGATCAGAGTGGAAAGGTAGAGGGGGGCCAGGTGGAGGTTTGGGTGGTGGAGGTTGGTGGGGGGAATATTTGGGTTGGGTAGGTGGTGGGATGTGGCAGGAGTAGGTAGGTACGGGGTGTGAGGAGGTGAGGCATGGGCTGAAGGTTGATGAAGGGCGACCGAACATAGATAATTGGGAATTGGATGAGATGATGGCACGATGTCAGATATTTGGGCGGAGTTTTATTAACGATGGAGCATGCGATGTGTTTCAAGGTCGAGTGTTAAAAAGAGACAAACCGAGGCTAGAGGGTCTAGTCCAGAACGACTTGAATAGAAGAAAAAAAGAAATGCATCATCACCAGGTCAGTTCTTCGCGTGCGAACTCCATGATTCATTAACACCATGTGAGCCTGATTCACCGCTTTCCACTCGCTCGCAATATCGCCAGAGCAAAACGTACTTCAAAAACCACATAAGCCTGCCACCTCTCAACTTTCTAGTCCCTCAATTTCCTACTGCACAATCGGTATCACAGCCACCATGACCAACCCGGACCCATTCCACAACGGCAACGACACCAACGCCCTCCCCTTTCCCTCCCCCCGCCAGGGGTGGGACGAAGACCCCATAGCCACCTACTACCTCCGCGCGCTCAACCGGGAGATCCAGGCCCTGAAAAGCGATTACGATCTCGCCTGCTCCTGTCACACATATGTCAAGATGGCGGTGTTGAGTTTGAGATCGTATCTCCAGGAGTGGGAGGGGTTGATGGGAGAGATTATAGGGTGTTCTAACTCGGAGACCGAGGGAGAGCTGGTGAGCTCTGAGGGAGTGGGCTATGAGAGATTGAAGGAGTTGGATGAGTATAGAGAGGTTTTGGAGTCAATGGATACGCGTACGTATTTTGTCTTTCCTACGAGGTAGAAGGACTATGTTGCAGAATTGAGAAAAAGAGAGACTGACAGTTATCTCGTACCAACGTTGTCGCAACAGCCGACCAAGACATACCCCCAGATAAACAGCATTCCGTCCCCTCAACCTTCTGGACAGCCAGGACTTACCGCAGTTACTCCCTTCTACATCTCTCCCTAGCAGAGACGATGCTGCATTTGATGTCTCCTGTTTCGAGAGTGGCAAGGGTGGTGGTAGAGTGGTTGCTTGTCGGTGTCTTGTCTGTTCTCCCCGTACTTCTCCTTCATGACCCTATTAATGTCCTTTTCAGCCCTCCCCCAACCCTCTCAAAGATGAGTCAAAGGTCATCGACTAACGACACTCCGCAGAACTATCATCACCACAGCTTTCGAGCCGTTAAAGGGAGACAGCTTTTCGCACAGAATGACCTGGACAGCATTGATGGCTGTCCTCGGCGTAGCATGGTGGTGCGCGGTGTTTAGTGCTGCATGGCTCGTTAGCTTGCAAAGGTGTAAGTATGAGGTTAGAAGGATTCGGCAGAGATTGGAGTTGAATGCCGTGATGAAGGAGGACGTAGAGGGTTTTGAGGGGTGGTGGTTCAAGAGTTTGTGGTGGATGAGTTGGTTGACGACTTGGATTGATGAGCTGTTTTCAGGTGGTGGGAGGGGGAGAGACGAGTGATGTGTTGGTGTCAAGTTTCTGGGCTTTGGCTTGATGGTATGCTAGGTGGAAGAGTCCGTGATCGGAAAAAGGAATAGACAGTTGAGAGTCCTAGACAGCTTTTGATCAGTATTGATGCTGATGACGGTCACCGAAAGTCGATACAGTCCATATTCCACCACACGGTAGGTTGGAGTGTCGCACGCTTCCGCGTCTACATCATCGCGGTCTGATGGAGAGAGGACCCTGACGTTTATGTTGAGGACAACGGTTACAAGTGACATCATTTAGGTTGTCGGAGAGTGTAACAATCGGGAGGGGGGGCTCGCTACAATACAGCGCATGGTATTGCTTTTCGAGTCCTACATTCGACACCACCTTGGTGTTTATCCGACTGAGTATTCTGTTAGAAGACTGAGTGTCAAAGTGGTCCTCTTGTTCCATGGCATGGGAATTGCAATTCTTGACTTACAAAATGGAGTGTCATTAGGTACCTTTTCTGGGGTCGCGTACGCTTTGGCCGGTTTGTTCCTGTACATTTCTCCTTGAAAACGGATGCTCAGCTCCAAGGAAGATTTCAGAGGGTGGGATACTACCGTACAGGTACCTCTAGGTACCTGACCTCCCGAAGTCTTTATCGCGGGAGAAGGCGCTATGATACATACTGGGGCTGCTTCAGGGGTCATGCATTGGGCTCGGGCTCGGGTCCCCAGCGCTGTAACGGCGCCGATCTACAGCTCGTCCCATCTGCTTCCCAGGGACCTACACCCGGACCTGCCATGACATGTGGACGGGATTGGGTACCTCTACGGCTAAGGCATCGATGTTCCGTCCCGTCGTTGCCCGATTCCAAGTCCAAAACATCTTCCAACCAGGAAAATACATACAATGGCTTCCACTCCCTCCCAGATCAAGCACTTCGAAGTTCTCTCAGGTTGTCCGGTACACTTGTCTTTCACGAAAGTCCCGTTCTTACACCAACCAGGTTGACTCGCTGTCGGCCACGGTCTTCCAAAACGGGCGCCAACGAATGCCTCAACTTCTCTGTTTACACCACTGCACCAGGCACAACAAGAGTTGCAAGACATCACTTCCTCGACTACTAAACCACCGAAAACCATCACCAGTTTAGGTAGTCTTCGTTTCAAACAATGGCAGAGCCCCACAACACGCCGATGCCCGCGAGTACGCCAGTACCAGCATCTACTCCACGATCATCCTCCCCCGTACCACCCCTCCCTAGCCTTGCGCCCAACGCTTCCATAAGCACAATTTCACGACGATTACCACGACAATACTCAAACGACGGAAGACGGCCCATCGTCCTTCATATCGGCGATCCCATCAAATATAACCTCGCCACGTATACCGAGTTCAGCCAAGCGTTCGAGGTTATCCGACCCAGTACCGCAGAGAGAGAACGAAGCGAGTTCAAGAAAGCACTGAAAGAACAACGATGGGGTGACTTCAGCGCCATATTCCGGCCATTCTGGGGTACTGGCAGCGAAATGGGTCGTTGGGACGCTGACCTTATCAGCTTGCTGCCGATCTCGGTCAAGGTATTTGCCAGCGCGGGCGCAGGCTTCGACTGAGCAGACACAAAAGTTCTGGGTGAAAGAGGTGTGTAGGCAGAAATAATGGCGTCCCTGTCATGGCGAAGCGATGAGTAGTAAGCTAAAGTTTAACTTGCAGGCATAATCTACTGCAATTCAGGTCCCGCAGCCGCTGAAGCCGTTGCCGACTTTGCTGTGGCAATGGTCATCTCGACCTTCCGGCACCTCCCCTGGTGCATGGGCGCTGCGGCACTCCCATATTCACTCTCAACGCCCTCTTCCTCCGACTTCATGACCGCATCCGTGTACTCGATAGCCAGCAAGACCTTCCAGGCATGCCATTCTCTCGCAACAGCTGTCTCACACAACCCGCGCAACCATGTCCTCGGTATCATAGGGCTTGGTAACATCGGCCAACAGATTGCTGCCAAACTCGGCTCAGCTTTCGGCATGAGGATTGCATATTATGACGTTGTGCGCAAACCTGCCCCCTTAGAGTCATCTCTCGGGGCTAGTTATCACTCCAGTCTAGAGAAGTTATTGGCTATGTCCGACTGCGCGGTGCTCTGCACACCTGCTTCAGCCGATGGGAGGCCTATTATCACCACGGATGTCCTGAAACATATCAAGAAAGGCTCAAGATTCGTGAACGTTGCACGGGGAAGTTTGGTCGACGAAGAAGCACTGGCAGACGCGCTGGAGGACGGGAGAATCAGCGCCGCGGCCTTAGATGTGCATGCTGAGGAGCCCAGTGTGAGCCAGAGGCTGGTAAAAATGGCATTTGGAGAACATGACATTGTCAGAAGCAACGGTCAAAAGGAGGCAAAATCCAGCTTCGACCACCCTGGAAAAGTCATGTTGACCTGTCATAATGCTGGTGGTACGGTCGAGACGCATATCGGGTTTGAGGAACTGAGCATGAGGAATATCATGGCGGTTCTGGGAGGGCAGAAGGCTATAACTCCGGTCAATATGCACTATTTGAAAGCCACGGAGTAAAGGGCACTGTCAGTTTGTTTCCTCTACTTCCTCGCTTTTCATGCTCGTTCATCTTTGTCCCTCTGGTTTGGGTAAAGGAAATATTTGTTTGTTCCCAGATTGAGGGTTTGGGGTCGATGAACGACAAGTAATATGAAGAATCATGTCTGCGGTTATCGAGAAGTGACCAAATTCTTGACTGACCAAACTCTACTCAGGTCGGCGATGATCAACGCGACAGTCATTGGTGCCGCAAAAATCGAAAGACCAGCGGAGGTTAGTCCATGGTGGGGGAGGTACATTCCCGAGGTAGCTGGTGATGAGTTCAAGGGTCAGCCGTTACTCGTTGAACGTGGACCAAAGTAACGCATAGCCATACAGAATTACTCGAGCTTACAAGATCATTCAGAATCAAAGGAGCCCGATACCAGATTATCCAGAGGTAAACAAGAGCATAAATTATTGCAAAGTCACAGAGAATTCTTGAGTCTACCTAAGGTAGGTTTTTTGGAATGGACGGACGCAAAAGGTAACGGTTCACGAATAGAGGTACATCAGCATATGTTTATCGGACCTAATTGATGTCAGTTTTTCCTGAGCATATGGAGATGATGTACGCTGAACTGTTAATGTGGGATGACTTGGGGATCATTTGCAGCATACCCATCACGAGTTATGCATATGAAGAGAAGCAGAGTTCTACACAATTCATGCATCAATCCTACCTTTATTCACTCTCTGCTGACATTTTTATATAGTACCTAATTATGTTGACATTCTGATATCTTGGTCCAGCGCCATCATACGTCCAGTGAATCTCCTGAGTTATACAGCTGCTTCATCGCATATACTCGTATCCCAGAAGATCGCGCAGTCCCGCTCATAATCGTCCTCTTGGGGAGAATTTGGACCATCATGTGTCATAACTTCATATAACTCATCGGTTCCCCGATTGAGCTTCAATTATTCAAATCCCGTTCGCTTGGTTTGAGCTACCCCATACCATGGATACCTACTCACAGACATCCGGAAGGTGAGAACTAATCCCCGAGTTTGTTGATCCAGAAACCAGCCATCCTAACAGTACATTAGTCACAGTCCGCCAATGGACGATTCTGACTACACCCTAGACAGCAGACTGCGCAGCTTCCGGAAGCACTTTACTGATATCAAACCTCCAAGCGCCCTCCGTATCGGCCCCATCAAACCGCTGTCACTCCAGCCCAAGCGATCGACCAGTTTTCCACAAAGCCCGACTCCTGACAGCAATCCCGACTACAGCAAACCTTCTTTAGACAGCAACAGCAACAACAACACCGACACAAGTCAACCCCTGAACAGCCTGACCACCCTTCTCCCTCCAACCAGCACGACAACCAGCTCAAACACCCCTGACGACTCAATCAACCTGAACACCAACCCCTCGACCAACGCCACCAACACCCTCACCCGTGCCGACATCATCCGACACATCCAACTCAAAAAATTCCTCGAGGCTTTCGTCCGCCGGCGCAAGAACCTGAAAACCGAACTCGAGGACCGGCTCCGCTTGCTCAAGCAAGAAGCCAAGAATAACCGGCGCCGGAGACAGAACGTGTTCTTCTACCCATCATCGGCCACCTCGTCCACCACCGCGGCGAATCATGGAAATAACAGCAACGGGGACATCAACGTAAACGGAATGCTGGATCTGCAGAAGGAGCAAAGGATTGATGGGCTGGTGGAGGAGAGAATTAGACTGGCGCACGAGACATATGAGCAGCAGTTGGCTTTGTTGATTAATGAGTTTGTGGTGGTGGGGTTGAGGGAGGAGGTTCTGAGGATTATTTGATTTTTGATCGAGTGGAGGAGGGTGGTTATTGGCGGTAATGGGAGACGGTGGAAATGTTGTGAATGGGTTAGGGGTATGCAATGGGGGCTAGAATGTATGGGTTTGGGACTCATTCAGTTGCCTGCCGTCATGAGCTGGGGAGTGAGTTCGCGGACGTGGCTATTTTTCTATAATCTTTCGTCCTTTATCGCCTAATACTGCTAATAATACTGATGGACTACATTGCATTATGGGTAGCAGTCTTGTCTGCGGATTGGCCTTTTGTTTTCTGGGGTAAATTTTGGGTTTCTCATCGACTGGTGTTGTTGGGGCCATTGGAGTGATTGCATCGCCGGGCCT